TTATTAAAAATTAAATGTATAAGATTAAGTACTAATTTTAAATAACGAAATTTGAATCGTGCCACGTTTCTCTCTTATATTTCATATATTATGATGTCATTTGTGTATCCTATATATTATTGAATTGTATTGTATTGTGAACTGGTCTGTCTATTATGATCAAAATAGTTTGTCGACTAACTCTGTATTCTTATTCTTATTTTATTTTTATATACTTATTAAGGAATTTTGTTTTCTTTTGAGAAAGGATGTACCTATCCAAAATTTTTAATTTTTGTTTATTTTATCTTATCTAATGTTGCTTTTTTAAATTACTTTATATTATTATTTCTTTATTACTACTATTATTATTCTATAACTATTGTTAACTCTCTACTCCATCACAAGCTTAGGCTTAAAGGAGTAGATATATTTTCTTTATTTATACTATAAATTGTACATTTAAAGAAAAACTATTTAAAAAAAAAAAAAAAAAATACCAAATTTGTATTTACAGTTCTACTATGGATATACTCGATACCCGGTTAGTGTTACAATTTTTACTCGGCCAGTACTCGGTACCCGGTTTAATACCAGATTTTCTATTAAGAACATCTCTTATAATGAGTGTTCAGTAGTCTAAAAAAACATTTGTGTTATTTGTAATAAAATATAAATTCCTAACAAAAATTTAGCCGTAGAGAAGTTAAATAAAATATAAGTTATGTTTTCTAGATTTTCGGAAAACTAGTAAATATAGCCACAAATTACGATATTCGTTACTAAATTATAATAATTTCGCAGGAGAAGTTGATTGGGAAATAATATCCTAAGTATTAATTATAGGTATTATTACTTTCATATTTAATATTATTTTAATATTAATTAATATTTGGTATTTTGGTCACGAATGTCAAAACGTTGTTCAGTTTTGTTGAGACCATGACGTCTAAAGACTATATTTTATATATTAATAAAGTAATAAATTATATATATAAATTAGGTATAAGAAATAATTTAGGCGATTTGGTTTAATACTTTAATCAGAATAAATTAATGAATTTATTGGAGTTTATTTTTAAGAAAATAATTATGATTAATATATTATAATTAATTTACCTATGGTTGATTGTAAAATTTTTTATGTTAATTTATTATTATTATCAAACAACTAACTACAGAATCGTAGGTACTCACCACAAGAAATACATACGAAATGATATATCACATGAACATTGTATAAAACAAAATTATTCGGGTTTCAGGTTAACCAGAATATTTTATTCGGGTTTGGTTAATTCGGGTGTTTTGAAAACAAAATCATTCGGGTAAAGTATATGGGTTTCGGGTGTTTGATTTTTTAAAGGTTTTTAAGGGTGTTAGTGGCCCTGATACTAAACAAACCTAATAATTTTGTCATTAACTATAGTTTAGAATAATTTAAAATTATACGCTAAACTTTCCATAATTTAATGATATCAATTAATAATGGCTTATATATAACATAAACCAATTTCACAAATCGTAATTAATAATTATATTTATTGCAGGAAACTGTAAATTATAATTATAATATCGTAATATTATGTATACAATATTGATTTAATGATCAGAATACTAAAACAAATTACCGAACTTAATTATTATAGGTACAATTATATTATCAACATTTGATAATAATAATATAATAATTAATAGTCGCAAATGACGAACGACGGTATAATATATTGACAGTAAGTTATTATTGGGCACATCACACTTACACGACCGTAAATAATGAACCCATATTAATATATTATAATATTTTTCTGAAATTACCATCATTCCATATTATATAGTTACAACACTGATAAAATTGTAATTTATTTGAGACATTAGAATAATGATTAAATTAAATAGACTTAAGGGCGGCGGTGGCCAAATGCCAACAATATTATAATCGTAGCACGTAGGCTGTAGCTAATAGCTTCAAATTATTTATTAGTGTTATATCTTATATATTATAATATATCATGATATTATTATCAATTATTTATAATCCATCTGTTAAAACAGATCGTTTTATAATTGCAGACTAAATGCAACGTGTATACCTACCTAACAACAATATAGGTACCTACTTCAGTAGTTGTGACAGACCTGTTGACTTAAATACCTATCAATTCGTTTTAACATATAGTTTGTCTGTCTATAATGCAGTGAATAGGTAACTTAAAATTCATCAATTGTTTGAATTGTATATATTTTAATATATTCGTTTTAAATGGCTCAACATTTATAGCTCACGAATTATTTTATTAATTTAATTAATTATTACATTTTTCAAAATTAACGTTTTCACATTAATAATTTCTAAAATGGTCCATTATTTTTATGAAAAACAATAATTTTAGATTCTGAGCGAAGCGATGAATGTATTGATTTTACAATGATCTGTGTTTTTTTTTATTCTTTTGTGTTTTGTACACGATAAGTAGTCGAAATAATGGTTTTATTTTCAATTTCAGTATCTTGTAAGATGGGAAAGTGAATCTAGTTGGCGCATCGAGGAGGTCAAAATCCCACATTCCTATTAGTTCCACACTCCAAAAAAAAAATTTAGGATAACCCGGAATTTTTACCCTAAATCGGTTTTTGACAAAATCGATTTTGGTTTTTGGCGTAACTCTAAAACAAATGACTGTAGATATATGCAAATTTAATTGGTTGTTTATATTAGCATTTTCTATATACGATAACATTTTCAAAATATTTGGATTTGTGTTGAACTATTTACGGACATTTTCATTTTCCAACTTTGTTAGTTTTTTTTCTATGAATGTCAATAAAACTTTATTTGAAAATTTAATATAAGGCTCCCACTATATTATTAGTCAATTTTTTTTTATAGAAGCATTTAAATTCAAATATTGACAAAATACTTAAATATCACGAAAATGTGCAAATTATTTTGAGTTAGAAATTCCTAAAAATTATTATTTTTAAATCTAAGATTTTAAAATATAATACAATATTCCTTATAAAATAACATTGGATATTCACTCGATTTCTCATGTAGCGAATTTCTTATTTTGTTGTAATTCAAAAACGAATAACTGCAAATACATGAATATTTGACTGAATGTTTATATTGATATATGTTTATATATAATTTTCTTTTTATAATGATCAACAAAAAAATGTTATTAGTTGAGTAAAAATGCTTGAAAATTTAATACAAGACACCTGATATATTTTGATAGTAGTAGTTAAATATTTTTATTTATAAAAACTTTTGGTTAACATAGGTGTTCTAAATTTAAAAAAAAATGAATGTAATTATTCACTTATATGTTATAAGAATTTCATTAAAACAAATACATCATCAAAATTATTTGAGAACTAAAATAAAAATGTTTAATATAGGTACGTCCACGACTATTAAAAGTCCAGCCATGAAAGTTATTTAATGTAAATTCTGAGCATCATAGTTAACTCTTAACCTATTATCTAAAAAGTGTTGACCACCAAAATTACAAAAACAAGACACTATAAAACAAAGCATTACACTTCGATTGGATTATAAAAACATTGATGCAAGTATGCAACCGGGAGAATGTGCAATGTGTTAGTGTGTTACAATATACAATATGCATCTAACTCTAAACTCTAATGTCTTTAGGTACCGTGAGTGGAATTGTGGAAAAGTAAATGACCTTACAGTTCTTACATCGTACTGTTACAATGATCTATACCATAATACAGTCATGAGAGTATCAACAGCTGACTACCTAGAACCTTACCTATTGAGTTGTTAAAATGTTGTTTCAGTGTAAATATACATGGTATAGATATAGGTAATTAATGACATAAATTATTTTATTTGATTTTTGTTCATACTTTTCACATTAACATTACATTTTAATTAAATTGTCAATTAATAACAAATACAGAAATACCTATATATTATTGTATTCATAATCAAAAAATCATCTTATAGCAACTTATAGATATAGCCAATACCATTAGGGTTAAATAATTAACTTGTTTTGTACTAAATAATTTATAATTTAATATTAAATTGACTGATGACATATGGAAACTTTTTAAAACAATGGCTTTCATCATGAGCGTAATCTGGGGTAATTTTTTGGAGGGGCAAAATGTGGTGAAACTAAAAATCTTTAAGGTAAATTTACACTATTATCCACTCAGTTAAATATCTGAGGGGGCAGTGCCCCCCCTTGTCACCCCAGATTACGCCTGTGGCTGTCATCGTTTAATACTAATTCAACTACACATAATTAAGAATTTATTCAACTGTCAATGATTTCCAGAAATTTGTATTTATAATAAACTAGGTACCTACCTAATTATTATTAAATATTATAGAATTTTATGTTGAATTTAGCATTTAGTTGAAGGTTACACTAACATCATTAAAGACACAAATACGTGTTCTATAGTAGTGTTGTTAATAGATACAATTTTTATTTAGAGAAATAAAATCTTAGAATATTAAAGTCTAATATAATTACTGTTCATATAGATTCGTATAATTTTCTAGAATGACAGTAGTCGCTGATATTCATTTTAACGAGGTCGTATTTTGGTTGTAATATGTAAAACAATAATATGGATACTATTTATACAATGATTCGTGCAGTGTTTAAACAGCTTAAACCACATGCGCCAATGAACAAATACATGACGTCGAGTTGCGTGATAGACCAAATTGTATGTAGATGTAAAAATATTCTGTGACAAAATATATTTGCAAATTTATAGTGATGAAATATGTCATTTTTTTTGTTATATTTACGTTTTAAAACATCTTGTAAAGTTACAGTGAGACGATTGGTTCATATTCGTCATCGATACCTTAACTAATAACTACGAATGATTTACGTGTGCATATTTATCATCATCGGTTTGGTTTTTATTACCATGACACATATTAGTCGGTAATATACAAATAGCATGTAGTACGTAAGAAGAGCCATCACACAAGTAAGAACACTTTAGAAAAAGTGTGAAGCATCATGAGTGATGTCCATTTAGAAGACTTATTCTATGAGTGCGATCGAAATGGCCAAGGGAAAATTGGTCCAGAAGAATTTCAAGAATTATGCGCCAAATTTGATATCGAACCCAGCGATTCGGATGTGATATTTTCAGACTTGGATCGTGACGGTGACGGACAAATATGCTTGGAGGACTTTGCCTGGGGATTCCGTGATTTTTTATCTCCTGGTAAACAAGACAAACCCAATGAAAATAGGACTCGTGGAGAATTGGAAAGAAGGAACTCACAAGCCTGGTCGAATTTCGTAGCTGTTATTGGAGAGCCAGCTTTAAAGAAATTATTTCATACCAGGTAATTTATATGAAGTTTTCTATATTTATCGTTACATTATAATAATATACATAATTAATTTTAATTTTGGGAATTCATAACTCAAAAATATTCATTGTTTATATTTTATAATTGTATATGAGGCACAATTACCCGATCCATGTATAAATTGTATAATTTATATGTCTTATACAATCTACATCTAAAACAGTCTGCCTATTATACAGTAATGAAGTTCAGTATACACTATACACATATTGTTTATAATTATTTTGTTAATTGAAATTAAAAATTAAAACTGACAGACAGAAGTGTATCAAATGCCAAATATTGTCGAAAACATTACCAAGGGGAAACTCAAATATGTAAGGAATCAATGGCGAGGGAAGCTACCACTTGAAAGGTCGAGACTAAGATGGGAGTATAGGGTTAAGAAAGACCTCGTTTAGAAACTCAATTAGTAACCTATCTACAACAGGATTCTTTGGTTGGATTAGTTTTTTTGTGCTTTATCAAATTCTTCTCTAGTTACCTTAAGTTTATTTAATCACTCTCTGTTTTTATGTCTTATCTGTTGAGGGTGGTATATTCCTTTTTAAAATTCATTAATTTATTTTCTGTAACTAACTTATGTTTTTCTAATTCATATTATATCAGTTCTTGTTTATACTTTTCGTGTTTCTTTTTTTATTTCTTTTTCTTAATTTTTCTGACGCGTTTCATGTTTTCCACATATTTATAGTACTTACCCCTATTTTTAAGCACATTGGTTCCAATCATTGCATGCTATCCTACATCTCTGTCCCTATTTTTAATTTATGAATATACTATTTACAAATATTGTGTTTATTATGCTTATAATATTTATGAGTGTTTACATGAACAGATTATCAGTAAATGTATAAAATTATAAAACTTTTTTGACTTGAATGTTTACTGTAATCATTTTTCTAAATGTTTCATTTTTTAAACAATCAGATTATTTATTTACTATGTTACTCATTATTATTTTTTTTTTGTAACATTTCGAATATAATCAGTAATCACTAATATTTAGGGTAAACAAGTTAGGAAAGCTAACTCTGTGAGCGTACTAAATTTCCTGTTTCCAAACGTATTTTAATAGAAAGCAATAAACTATAATTCCAAATACAATTTAAAAAGAATTTGGTAGGTAAACTTAAAATTATGTTGACAGTATATTTTGAATAGTCTTTTTTTGAATAAGAACCATTTATAATATAACTTAACATATTTTGACATTTTATCAATAATAAATATATGGTTTGTCAACCTCCTGTAAGCAATAAAGCTTGTGTTGGAGGTTGAGAGTTATAATATTTAATAATAATAATGAAATTATATGGATATAATATAGTCTAAATATTATTTTATTCAAGCAATAAGTAATTTATTAGGTATCTTAATATCAACAATCGTAGGTAACTATTAACTGGCAGGTACCTAACTAACCGACGGATACACTGGGGATATAAGTGTTCTAAACTTATGTTTAGGAACCTAAAGATTTATCTATTTCTAGTGAAAGTTAATATTTACAGACCTAAAAATAATATATGAAGTAGTATAAGTAATATATGAATTAGGTCGTAATAGTATATATTGTATGGCAAGGGCGGGAAGTGCCAGTTTCAGTCGCTGCCGACGTGTGCGGCACGGGCCGCATTTCGCCCAAGACTGAAATTGCCTTCCCTCACGAGCCACACATACCTACTATTTTTTGTCACGCCTCTGCATTCATCGATCACGGCAAAGGTAATGCAGGGATCTATTCAACAACTAGACTGTATAATTATACGACAACAATATTTCATGAACGAACAGATTTGGTTTTATTTATTTTAAGCGTCACGCATGGAGGTTATAATATGATTATAAGATGTAACCAAAAGTTTATGTTTTGTAAGGACCACCGACCGTGGTATAGATTTCAATGTCTGTTTGTTCAGGGTATACGAGCGTGAAATGTCCAAGCAGCACTTTTGGGGATTTCCACTTTACTACCCGGAATTTTTAGGAATTCCCACTTTACAGCCCGCTGGACGGAAAAAGGACGCTTTCCAACGCTTCAACCGCTATCGAAAACCAAACTTTCGGTGCAGGCGTGATAAAAAATAATTAATAATTACATTTTTTTTAGTAATTCAATTTTATAAAAAAATAAACACCTGTATAGTATCCTAGTGTATGGATGTTTTCTAATCATTTAACATTTAAGTTTATATCTGATAACTGTACTTTAAATTAAAATCATGATCCAAAAAAATAATATATTATGATATACAAATTAAAAAGTACCTATATCCGTTCCAATATAGTATAATCTTTAAAATGTATTTTTTAAAGTATGAAATATTAAATAACTTGTTAATACTTCAAACGGAGAGATAAAATTTTATTTAGATACTTAGTAAAATATTTTAAAGGTGTACCCATAAATGTAATATGTATTTATTTCTCAGTGGTATTTTTATTTATTCTTTAAGAAGATAATGGGCCCCACTGAACATGTTCGTGTGGGGGCCCATAGATGAAATAAATATACCTATATATAAGTACATATTATTCTTTAACCAAATAATATTTCAATATTTTTTGTATTTTGTGTTATTATGACGTTTGCTAACATAATATGTATTAAGTGGAAAAAAATTAGCGGATTTGTATATGGAGATTCAAAACTGCAGTCCATCATCAGAACTTATAACACATTTTGAGGGAGCTTTAAGTTCATTAATGGAAGATGTGAAACGATTACATGAAGATAATGAAAAACTTGAAAACATGTTTAATCGGTATGATGCATATTAAGTATAATAAAAATGCACAATCTTTAGAATTTAAAATGTAGTTTAAACATTTATTTTGTTGTTTTTTTTTTAGTGAGCGTCAAACACATCTAACAAGACTGCGAGGTTTAGAAGAAGAAATAGATGCACAAGTCGCAAAAGTTGAAGCTCAAGCCAGGGATGAAGCAAGAGAACAATTTGAATTTGAAAAAAAAGAATTGATGAAAAAAATGGAAGCCGAAACAATAGAGTTAAAAACACATTTGAAATTGTTTCAAAAGGTTCATAGTATAAATCATTAATAAATATTCTGGATCATGTTTGTTAAATTTGAATTGTATAAAGGTGAACACTGTGTTAAGCCAAAAAAAAGTAGACAAGAACGATATGGATGAGACCATAGAAGAATCAAGGGAACTGAGACGTAAATTAATTGACACACAAACTAATTTGGCAGTAGTTCGTTCGGAAATGGAAAAACTTCGATCTGAGTACGAAATTAAATGCGAGGAGTTTAACAACACGTATGTTACTTGTTTCAACTATATTATATTCGTAAATCAATATTATTTTATAATCATAAATAATAACCATGAGCATAAATACTATTATAGGATACAAGTAAACATCGATCCTTTAGAAGAACAAAGTGGAGCCCAATATACTATAAAACGACTAATGGATGATATTGGTAATTTGCAGAAACTTTAATATTAACTACTTATAACCACATTTTATAATTTTATTACAAGATGCAATGCACTTTTTTGTTTCGTAATATTTCAGACAGTGGACGATCTACTCTTGTAGAATCAAATAATTATTATCAAAGGGATCTACAAGATGAGCTCTCAAATGCATCTTCAATCAACGGACCTTACCATTCAGCAAAAACGGTATTTACAAATAATATGTAATTAAAACTTAAGACCATTACACGTAGGTATAAATAGTTCTCGAAGTGGGGGGGGGAGATACGGGGGGATGGCATCCCTCTACTTTTTTGTTAGATGGAGAATAGAAGAATGTTATTGGATATGATCATATGATCACAATATCAGGAAATTTTGATTGTAAGGCATCCCTCCGCATATCTTGAGCCATTTCGACCACTGGGTATAAACAATTAATATTATTTTGAACAAAAATAACCAAGTCGAATAAATAATAACCAATATTCGATATCGTTTGAACCAAAGCTATAGTAATAGTATTATGATATTATTTTTCTTACCTCCAGGTATAATATTAATTTTTTATGAACAACTTTTTATAATACGGCTAACATGAAAAATGTATAAGCAACGAGCACTTATAGGTATTATAGGTATTAGTAATATTAGTTAGCAATATTTAGCATTAATATTTTATTTTTAAATATTATATTCATTAGTTATTTTATATTATTATGAATCAAAAATATTATATGAATTGGATAAATTTTTTTGTTTTTAGAAGCTTATAGTTAATACAATGGACAATGGTCATAATAATAATAATAATTTGTCGTTATGGCAGTAATTATTCATAAAAAATAATAGATAATCGTATTCAATTTAAAAAATTTTAATAATTACAAAATCTATATAAAATATACATTTTCATGAAAATGTAGGTACAGCTCTATGCAGATGAGTGGCTTCAGATGTGCAAACATTTATGTACTCATGCAATCTATGTCATTAATCATTATATTTATGGAATTCCCGAATACGTATTTTTAAAAAATAATAGGATTAAACTCGTTGTATTAATTATTATTATTTTAAATAAATCTGTCTGAAGACAAGACAAGACATCTTTCATCTTCAGCTTAAATTTCGTTTCTAGGAGTAAAATAAATCTAGTTAAGTTGTTACCTTTTTTTTTTATGAAGGGAGGGAGTTAAAGCATAAATGTACACCGTACAGTATTTTGTATGAGTATTTAAAGTTAAAATGTTAATGAAATTCGTCCAAAACATGAATATTTGCAAATTATTCTGAAGTTAAAAAATCATAAACGGTTTAATATAAATACCTAAGGTTTGAATATGAATGCATATAAGTTTTGATTACAATAATTATAAAAAATAAGTTGAGCATAATTCAACAAATATTTTCATGACCGTCTGAAGTTTAAATTTCAAATTTATGAGTAAAATAACGAGTTATCATCAAACTATTTAAGTTTTTTTATTGAAATTCGAAAAGTATCAATATTTTGTAGAACCTTGAAACATATCACTGTTACCTATATCAATTATCAATTTACTATACTCAACGAACTTTTAAAAATATTTAAAAGTACTAAATATATACTTTTTATCTAGTAGGGGAGAGCGGGGTTAGTTGTTACAATTTCACAAATATAATTTTTTCTTTGATCAGTATCATAATTTATAGGAAACTGTCTAAGTAAAATAAGTTAGAAAAAGTACATTTTTAATGTTAAAATAAATATTTTTTAGTCACCTTGTCAAACTATAACAACTTGCCCCAGGGTGAGGTAAATTGTTACAGCCCAGGGGCACATTGTTAAAGTACCTATATATTTTGAATTAAGATTATTAAAAAAAAAAAAATTAACAATGACAGTACCTATACTGTTCCAAGAGAGATCAAATATTTTTTGCGCATCATAAATGAGGCGATTGGTGGGTCGAGAACCACGTTATCACTCTAACACCGAGCAAGTGGTGAGTGACGCGACGCACGAGACGCGCCCGACAAAAATCGGTATTTTTATAACAATAACATATAATTAAACGGACTGAAACAACTTTCCCATATGGTTTTTTTTCTTAAACAATTTATTTTTTGTCAAATAAAATAATACTATTGAATTATATTACTTGAATTTGGTGCAGTACCATATAATAAATAAATGTTCCTACTATAGTGCCATAGTAAAAAAAATATGTTCTGTTAAAAAGCTTTAATATCCCACATAAGTTGTTAGGTATTATTATTTTTATTTATAAATATAAAAAATACATTGGTATGATATTTTTATAAAACGTTTGAAGTTCAAATGTTGTCAAAATTCGATAAAAACCACGAACTTTTTCAAATAATTTAATATTTAATAATTGTTTTAGCTAGTTCTTACTAGGTACAACCCATAAATCCGAAAAATATACTAGCAAAGTTTGTTATTGACATTTGGAGTTCAAATATTGACGAAATTATATATTCAAATGAAGAATAACCTTTACGGTTATTTTATTGTAATACAAACATAATATTGTTCAAGGGAAATTTCAACTTTTACATATCTATCATTATAATTTAGCATAGACAATGACATTTTAAAATTAAATTTAGATTAATTTTAAGCTATTTTCTCTTTATACAGTAGACATATTTTTACCATTCGCTGTAAGTCAGTAGGTATTGACTCAAAAGTTAATAAAAATGATATAAATATATGATTCAATAATATACTGGGTGATTCTTTTATCAAACAACACTCATTATTTCAAAAAGTGTAAATTTTTTTGAAGATATTTTTTTACATAGTTTCAAGTCGCTTATAAAACAACGTTTTTATTAAAAATTTATATTTTTAATTATTTTTTATCCTTATAATTTTTTAAGTTTTTTACTTTTTTGAATGACAACATAGGGTTTTAATTTTATATTCTAAAGTAGAAAATTTTTCTTAGTATTTTGATACATGAAAATTGAATTTGGGGCTAGTAGTTTATGAGTTATAAGTATTTCAAGTTTAGACGAGCGGTGAAGTGGACAAACATTTGGCGGGGTAACCCCGAACCACTCCACTCCGCTCGTCTAAACTTTAAATACTTATAACTCATAAACTACTCAACCCAAATTCGATTTTCATGTATCAAAATACTACGAAAAATATTCTGCTTTGGAATATAAAATTAAAACCCTATGTTGTTATTCAAAAAAGTAAAAAACTTAAAAAATTATAAGGATAAAAAATATTTAAAAATATAATTTTTTAACAAAAACGTTGTTTTATAAGTGACTTGAAACTATGTAAAAAAATATTTTCAAAAAAATTTACACTTTTTGAAATAATGAGTGTTGTTTGATAAAAGAATCACCCAGTATGTAGGTAGATACTATTATAATAAATGAATTCTATGATAAATGCTATGTTTTCATCGAATATTAATTTAATCTTCCATGTTAATAATAGCAGTGGTGTATTGGGGGGTATACGGGGGTATACGGCGTATACCCAATACGCTATTTGTATCCATGGCGTATAGCTTATGACAAATTAAAGATACGCGGGTATACGGCCGTATCTACCGTATATCCTATATGGCAATTTTAAATAATTTATAAACTATTGTAAAATACCTACATTTTGACGGGCGCGAATTGTAATATAGCCTAAGGCTATAGGACGTAAGTCGTAACAAAGATTTTATATTTTTATATTACGAACAATTTAAAAATCAAGGTTATCACTTATCGCATTCATAATCAAAATATTACCCCGCCTACGTGAATGTAAACGTTTTCTGAATACGGGTAAACAAGGATCTAACATCATGTTAGTTTATGGGCTCGTTTCCTGATAATATTATACTCACACAGTGACAGACAGTATATGACAATAATTGACTACAGATTGTCATGCACCATGTATGAAGTACTCAAGTACCTTATAAGTTATAACTTATAGACTATTGTGTTATTGTTATACACTTAATATACTTGTTAGTATAACTTTTGTATTTTTGTTCAATTTAACATGGGTGAAAAAAGAAGCACTTTACATTCATATTTCAAAAAAAAAGTAAAATTAAATGAGGGTGAACTAGAACCAAATTATGTCGACCAGCTATTGATGCAAATAGTGAAAACAAATCAAACCTTTGGAAAATACTTTAAACAAATTTAAAAAAAAATAAAAAAATAAATCTTATTATATTATTAATTGTTAAAATAATTTCTTGTTTTTAATTTAGTATATTGCAACACATAAATAAAAGTTCTAGTTCGAGCGAAGCGAGAAAATTTTTTTTAGTTCCTACCTGGATTTCTTCATTATATATATATCTACGTGAATAAGGCGTATACCCATGGTTTATTTTAGCAATACATCACTGAATAATAGTAAAATAAATTAGTAATTAGGTATTAATAGCAACATTAGTATACAATATACTCAGTAAAATAGGTTGACGGACTATCCTAGATAAGATTCGTTTTTCGTATGGAATGATTCATTATTGAATTCAGACTGAAAACTGAACTCATCCATTACATCAGTGATCTACATTTATATAGTTGATGAGGTACATTTGACTCATACTGTACAGCACAGCAGTTATATACTTACAAATCCTTTTTCTTCTAATTTGTATTGCATTTAAACAATTATGATTCAATTTAATATCTATATTAAACTATTATGTTTTGTTTGTATTTTTTATATTCAAATAAATGTATTACTATAATGACTCGAGAACTAAACAGTTAACTGTTAATTTGCCGAGACACGATGGTATGCGTTTGTCGATTGTACATCCGTTCCTCAAAATTGGAATGATACTATTAGCCATTAGGACCCCACAACCAGAGCGCTATTCAGTTTAAATTAACTTCATTGACTATAGGAATGTGTGTTCGAGCACTATTCTAATCATAAAGGTAAGAACGAAGGATGACTTGAAATAATATACAACTCTGGGTCGGAAGAACTTTTATTAAAATGTAAAACTAACATAAATAAAACACTAATTCTCAACACTTAGCCCGTAATATGCGATCGTCACTATCAACACGTATAATCGTCGTACCTACGTTCTCGCTGAATCACTCAGTGGCAACGGGACTGTCCGTGCCTGTGCGTATGTTATAAAGCAAAATACCTATTACCTATTCTCGCCTCAGTAGTCAGCACATCTTGCTTCACTGGCCTGACCTATCACCTATGTTAATAATTTACAGCTTAAAATATTCCCACCTATATTACATATAATATTAAATAATATTATATTGACGACTGTCTACAATAATATATACGACACCTCTTAGTTATTTTATTATTTTTTGGCTTATTATAAATAATAAATATTTAAACAAAAAATAAATATTACCCGGTAGATAGTTATTAGGTAGGAACCTAAATAATAATTACTCTATTTTCAAGCTTAGGAAACTGCCTCATTTCATCGAAGGTTAGGTTAATAGGTTAAGTTAGGTAAATCTAAAAAACATTGTATGCATTATACAAAGGTGGGCATTAAATCGTTAAAAAGTTAATTTTTTTAAACTTTTTAACTTAACTAGTTAATTATTTTTGTTTTTAACTTATTAACTTATTCAGTTAAAATTGTTATTGTTGTAACTTAACTTTTTATAGTTAATTATCATTGTTGTGCAGTTAAGTTAATTTTCTTTTCGAGTCATGCGTAATCAACTAGGCAATACTGATTCGTCGACTTTTTTACGATTTTGGCAATTTATTTTCTAATTATATATTATAATAATCAATTTTTTTTTTAAATTTTTATGTATAACAATTAACAAAATACTATGGTAGTTTATGACTTAAAAATATTGTACCTTCAAAACATTTTTTTTAACTGAGATAAGTTAATTTTATTTTCTATCTTAACTTTAAACTTATCTAGTTAATTTTTTTTTTTTTTACTTTTAACTTAACTTGCCACTGATAATTATTTTCATTAAACTGAACACCATTAGCATTATAACAGTGCCTACATACATCACTAACATCAAATTTCTTAAGAATATTATATAAGTATCCTTAGTATAAATTATTTTTTATGCACTTAAGATGTTTTTAATTATAATTTTTATGTGATATATCATATTAGAACTAACAACTAATGGCAAAGAAATAATGTAATTAGTTTATACTTTGGAGTCGTCACTCGCCATCTATTTATTTTATTAATATTAATGCTGACTATAATTGTTTTCAGATAGAATTTGAGGAAATGAGTTTATCCGGCCGTGATTCCCAGAATATGATGCATTTCCACACACCAGCTAGTGCAATGAGTATTAGTAGTTATGATATGATCGGTGGTGATCCAGAAAGAACCTATAAAATCGTATTCGCCGGTGACGCGGCTGTTGGAAAAACGTGTTTTATTCATCGTTTCTGTAAAGGCACCTTCTCAACAAAACTTGGATCTACTTTAGGTGTGAATTAAAATTCATAAGAATAATTCAGAAAAAGCTTTAAAGTAATAATAATTATAATAGTCTAAGGAATAATAAGTATAATACATAATTGACAATTTTTTTCTATGAATACGTCTTATGAATAGATATAGAGCTCAAAAAATGTCAGCATAGGTACCTATTTATATAGAAAAATAATTTTAATTGCTAATTTTTTCATTAAAATTAATCTTTGTTTTCAAATTTTGTTTTACAGGTGTTGATTTTCAAGTTAAGACAATCAGAGTTGATGATAGAAATGTAGCATTACAGTTATGGGATACAGCTGGTAACATTTCAAAAGACAAACTCTTTCAATAAAATTAATTCTTGAAAATTATTGTTTCCAAAAAAATACTAGATTTAGAGATAACACAAACTTCTGTACAAGATAGTTTTCTCACAATACGATTGGCATCTGTAAATTAGTTCTTTCATTAGTAGCTTCCGTCGTTTAACACTTTTGATACCTACTATGAGTAAACTAAAATATTTTTGGAGTTTGATAATAAGCTAACACATAAATAAATTATATATTATACCAAAATTATGAAAGACTGTTGAGTGAACATTATTTAAAATAGTTTAAAATTTATTATAATATAAAATTACATTAATTGTATAAATGTAACTTGAGTTACATGCATGTTTTATAAAAAAATTCAAGATCAATTAAAACGAGATGCATACATTATAATATGTGTACTTAACCGAATTATATAACTTTGATTCATGTAACTGACCGTATGCTTTTGAGTTTTGATGTCAATCTCTGCTGATATATATAAAAAAAAGGTGGGCAAGTGGGTGTCGCTCTGCTGTACAGTAGGTTACAAGTGGGTCACTGTATAATGGATGATATTAAATTTGAATTCAACGATATAATATCATTGTATAAGAAAAACGATTCTGAGCGGAGACGGTATGTCAGTCTATGTTTAAGACATATTATATACATATCTATGGTATTAAACAAAAAATTGACCTATAATAGGTACCTATAATAAATTCCAAATTAATCATATCACAATATCCATTAGATACTTATAACGCGTTATACATCAACAAAAACCGTGATACTATCATAGATATATAATAGTACACTTTAGAAGTTTCAAGTACCCACGAATAGTATTATTCAATCACAACAAAATAACTAAAATCGTAATTCTTGGTTTAAATATGAAATTTTGTCTAAATTTGAAATTAAAATGTCTGTAAAAAATAAGTGTGTTTATATATTTTTTAGATTTTTTGGTTACAGTATGAATTATTTAAGAGAATCTTTGTTTTAAATTTTCAACTCTTAGCTATAAAAACTGAACATTTTATAATTTTTTAATTCCAACGATTGATAATTTTCGAGATTTTGATAAATTTTGTCAAAATTCCAACTTTAAATGCTTATAAAAAAAAATCGTGCCTATGTATTTTAATATTTTTCAACTGATATTGTAACAATTTATCAGGAGCCTTGTATTAAATTTTTACACTTTTTGGCCCAACAGATAAAACTTTATTGATATTTATAGAAAAAAAAACTAAAAAAAATTGAAAGCTGTAAATGTCCATAAACAGCTCAAAAAGAGTCAAAATATTTTCAAAATTGTATGGTGTATATGAAATGCTAATATAAACATTCAGTGAAATTTTCATGTATCTACAGTTATTCGTTTTTGAATTACAACAAACTAAGGAAATCGCTACATGAGAAATCGAGTGAAAATCCAATGTTGTAAAAATTTGAATTTCAAACGCTCATAAAAATTTAATTTGACTGTCCGGTAGAGATTTTTTTATTTATAAAGGTAGATAATCTTATAAGGAATCTTGTGTTAAATTTCCAAATCTTAGATTTAAAAAGAAAAATTTTTACGAATTCTTAACTCAAAATAATTTGCTAATTTTCGTGATTTTTCCATATTTTGTCAATTTTTGAACTTTAAGTGCTTATAAAAAAAATTGTGACTAAGGATTTTTAATATTTTTCATCTGCCTTTGAAACAACATATTAGGAGCCTTCTATTAAATTTTCAAGCTTTCGCAACCAACAAATAAAATTTTATTGATATTTCTAGAAAAAAAACTAAAAAAAAATGAAAAATGAAAATGTCCCTAAACAGTTCAAAATAAATCAAAATATTTTGAAAATGTTATCGTGTATAGAAAATGCAAATATAAACAACCAGTGAAAATTTCATGTATATACGTTCATTTGTTTTAGAGTTACACCAAAAACCAAAATCGATTTTTTGGAAAACCAATTTTGCGTAAAAATTCCCGTTTTTCCTTAATTTTTATGTTGTTTTTCCCGGCGCTTGTGAAAACTACTGGGAAATTTATACTTTTGACCCCCCAAAGTACCAACTAGATTCACTTTCCTATCAGAAAAGCTACTGATGAAGAAAATCCAAGCACTTTTACTGTCCTAAAACGTGATGACAGACACAAAAATAAAAAAAAAATAAAAAAAAATAAAAAAAAAATAAAAAAAAAATAAAAAAACACACATCATTGTAAAATCAATACATTCATCGTTTCACTCAGAATCTAAAACATGTGATGAAACTTGAGTTATATAATATAGCAGATATAATAATATATCAGTCAACATTTTAAGAGTGCTATGAAAGTAATTAAAATATTTTAATTTATTTTTTTAAATACCTATAGGTATAATATTCGTGTTTTAATATTTATCTTGACTTTTGATGGACCTTGATCAGCAGTCGAATAGTTAATGAATATTTCCATTGAGATTAGATTCTATACTTTAGGTATCTACCTACACAATATTAATACTATTATACAATATTATATTAATAGATTTAATAACGGATTCAAATAACTATCAAAAAAATTTCTTTTGACCTTAATATTCATAAAAAAATGAACATACAACTTTTATTTCATATTATATATTACTACGAAAAATCAATTTTATTTAATTCAATATTATTTATATAAAAGCCATTACTCGTCTGCGATGGTTTTTACTGATGACAAACATCATCATGGAGCAGTATTAATGTACCTATTATTCGTTTTAAGTATAGAAAAATATAAAACTGAAATAATTTTAAACTAAATTAAGCTCTATGTTCAACTATTTTATGCCTGTTAAATTGTGAGCTCTGCATTTAACCTAACAAGTAACAACATTTCTTGAAATACTTATAAGTATCTGTTACATGAATTGAATTTTGCTATTGGAATATATTATTCTAGACTTAAGAGCAACCACAAAAAAAAATTGCACTTTGCATAGAGATCTGGGATTTATGGATAGGTATTATATTTGAATTTACAACATGTTTTTAATACTTTGGTATAGTTTGGTACTGTTTTAACAAAATTGATATTAACAATGTTTATTAAAAAAATAATTTTTATTGTAAAAACCCATACTATAGTAATAACATGGCTCTTCAAGATGATTTTTAAAATATAAAATATTTAGAATACTTTTATGTTGGATGCTAATTCGTAATTAAGATTTAGACCTTTTTAATAAATATATTACATAATTTAATATTTGATATCAACTTCAATTTTTTTTTTATAATTTTTAAATTAAATTATAATTATAACATAGGTATTACATATAACAATTATTACTAATTAGTAAGTTTCAATAGATAATAGTATTTTTTAAATTGTTTTATCATGACTTCTTAATTTTTTAACTATTACAAAAGAATACTAATATATTAAAAAATGCATGTTGTTTAAAGGACAAGAAAGATTTCGTTCCATTACAAAAGCGTATTTTCGAAGAGCAGACGGAGTCATTTTACTGTATGATGTAACTAATGAAAGATCTTTCATCAATATTCGTCAATGGGTCTTATCGATAACGGTAAAATTAATAATTTAAGCTATGAGCATAATTATTAATTTATTTAAATACATAATCATTAGAGATAACTACCATAGTATATTGTATTATTTTTCGATTATTGTTAACAGAGTTGATTTAAACATATAAGATTAATGCTTATTTGTCTATATGATTATAACGTTATATTTGACAAAAAAAGATTGAAATTTGTAAACGTACCTAATTGTAACGTAAGCTATAATCAAAAATAATTAAATACCATTAAACAAAACATAACGATTAACAAAATATATTATACATCATTAAACAAAACACAACGCAAAACGTAATTTATAGAATATCATTAAATTAATAATATCGCAAAACGTAATTTATAGAATTTCATTGAACAAAAACAAACACCAAAATCCATAAATCCATTTATGTAAAAGTTATATTGGTTTCGTAGAAATATTTATTTCATGCATACTGACATTAGCTTCCCTCATTAGTTATTAATTATTATTAATACATTAAATAGGTATTAACACTTTTCTAAATAACGATAAAAGCAAATATTGTGTAACGTTTAATTGTAAATAACATAAAACGGAATTTTTTTTTCAAATGCAAATCCTGGTCTATATGAAAAATACAAATACATACATTTATTTATTTTTAATATTTTTTGAAAGTCAATCTTTTCATCTTCGTAAAATTATGAGGTATTATGAATATTATAGTATTATAATTATTATAAAAAAAGATAAACAATTATTAGTAAGAAATATGAAATAGTTACAAAAACTTATGATAATTATAATTATTTTAATAAATATTAATATCTACAAATTATTCTGTAATAAAATAATATTTAATATTTATAATTGTTAAATTATTTTAATACCGTAATTTTAAATGAACTAATTAGGTAAATCAAAAATCCAAAGATAAGATTCTAAGAAAAATGTTCTTTGAAAAATTTTTATGATATTTTACTAAAGTTTTTTTTTTACAAACTCATCAACTATTTTAAATACCCCAAGTATAATAAATTGATTATAGTACTCAAAAGTTATGCGTATATCTTTTTTCCAGTCTTAAAATCTGATGACGTTAATTAACTTAATTTTGTGAAAACTTTAGGTCTTTATACTAAAATGCTTATAAGTAGTGAGGAACTTAAAAATAATTAAAATAAATACATTGCAGTCGACAAAATTTTAGAACAGTATATTATACACAAATTATGAATTCAAAACTATTTGTATAGGTACTCATAATTTTTTTTTTTGAAATATTCTATTAATAAATAATCTACTTAAAAGATCTTAAGAGGAAGCTATAGACAGATTTGTTGTCTCAAGTTTCATAATAGGCAGTGTTGGGTAAGTTACTTTTAAAAAGTAATTAAGTTACTTTACTCGTTACTCAAATAAATTGTAATGAAATTACTTTAATTTTCAAATAGAAAGTAACTCTTAAAAGACCCAGTTTTGCCCTTATTATGCTTATTTCATAAAACGATCAACTAATGTTTGATATATTAAAAGATAACTTAAAAATAATAGGTAATTTATTTATTTTAATAAAATAAATCGATATATTAAAATATGTTCAAAACGCATAAGGCATTGCTTAATGATAGTTATAAATTTGTTATAAGTTTTTTTTTTATACATTTTATTTTTTTAAGAATAATCGTAATTTTGAAAATGTTTTACCTACAAATTACGATAGGTACTTAACTCAGAACTTTTCTAGACATAAATTTGCCTAATATTTAAGAGACATTTTTGTCATGGTTTATTGTTTAGAACTTAGATATTGTGTCGTTCCACATTTCCGATTGGGTGGTCTTTTAAAACAATAAACAATAAATAATAACAAATAAGTATCAGCTGTTAAATTTTAATAAAAGAATTAATAATAATAATTAATAATAATTTTAGTTAAGAGTATCCACCGAGCAACAATGTATTAAATCACCTGCCTCGTAGGTAGGTACTTATTAATATATTATTTAATAATTTCCATTATTATTTGTCTATAGGAAGTAGCTGATAAACAATTACCAATTTGTATTTGTGGTAACAAACTGGATTTAAGACGCGAAGCAGAGTTGCAAGGACTAACGTGCGTGTCCACAGATCACGGTGAACTTTTGGCTAAGGATTACAACGCAGTATTTTTCGAAACTAGTTCCAAACTTGGAACGAATATTAATAACGCATTGGTTACACTATGCAGGTATTGAAGTTTTTAATTTATTCCTTATAGGTTGAATATAGAATTTTAAAAAACATTTATAGGTAGGCGTTGAACACATATTTTTCCATAATTTTACAATATGATAGGTATAAATATATAATACCCCAAGTTAGAGGATATCCACACTGGTGGGCCTCGCTCCTCACGCCATTCATATTTTGTACCATCAAGATTTTTTTTGTTATCAAATATACTTTATTGTTGTATATAAATATTACAGATTGTAAATACTTATTTTTATCTAATAATAAAAAAAAAATAAAAAAATATTATAATATATTTTATATTATTAACTGTAAACATATCGTATTATTAGATTCATTTATTGTAGTTGCATATCAATGCAATTTATTATAACATGCATATAAGCCAAATGATGGAATTATTTTACACCGAAGAATTAGTAAAGTGTGCATGTAATTCAAAATTTGAATTAAAATAAAAATACAATTTTGACAGAAAGCTGATAATACAATTCGGGGAAAATAATTTTGGTCAAAAATATTCAAGCATTTACGTGACAATAAATAATGAAATGCATTTCTGCCAATTTGTTTAATATGAGGCTACATGCATTTTATTCTCCAGTTTATTTATTATTAAATGTATAATATAATTATAAATTTTAATTATTGAGTTTAAACATGGTATTTGTGTCATTGTGGATATTGATTTATTTACTATTGTACAATTAGGTACTACATTTTTAACGATTTATTTTCAGAGAAATGTTGATTAGAGAAGATGTCGACATTCAAACGTCTGCTTTATACATCGCAGAACAAAAACATAAATTTAACCCAGGTTGCTGTTAATAACTACACATATTATTCAATTACTTTAAAAACCTACCAATATTCTATTTAAATAATTAAAACATAATATACTTGCTCTATAATTTTATAATACTATATTTGTAAAATATTTTGATTGACGTAATATAGTAAAATCTAATAATAATAAAAATAAAAATATTATATGATTTTAAACATGAGATGTCTTCCATTATTAATAATACATTAACCACTAAAAATATGTAATAAAATCAAATTTAGTTGAATATCAATAACATTCGAACAAGAATAATGTAACACAAGAAACAATATCAAAATTAATTATTTGTGATAAAACATATCTTATTGGAACGAAGTACAATTAAAAAAAACTAAACACAATATAGATAGCATGTACCTATTGTACCTACGTAGTGTACATTGTCGGATATTTTAAGTTTACAGTATTTTGGAACAATAAGTAACACTATTTACTTGGAGGGGCTTAAGTGGGGGTGATGTCATGAGATTCCTCTAAGTCCTTACTATGACCACTCATAAAAACGTCTTTTTAAAATTGTCTTTAAAAGATACGCTTGTATACTGCTCAAGGCTCGAAGTTGAATCGAAAAATATTCTCCATTAAAAATATTTACATATTTACATTTTGAAATGGTATAATTTTGGTTTGATAAAGTTATTCAGTTATTGCATTAAATATTTTTCAATTTGACAAAAATATTATTATATACATAGATTACATAGTATTATAATACATAAATATTAAGTTTATTTCCTTTTATCATCTCACTATTATTTCTGTTTGATTATATACTTACTTTTATTATATTTGATTTAATTTAATTTAATTATAATAAATAAAATACTACATTTTTATTATATTTTAATATTTTATTAGATATATTTTGCTATTATAATAATATACTTACTTCATTAAGAATACTAATTTAGATACCTATGTAAAACGTAATGTAAGTCGTAATTCAAATATAATTAATATTTCCATCATATTTATACTGTTTATTTTAAAATCATAGTTCATTATTACTTAAGATTCAATTTTTTGTTATGTTTATTACACAATTTAAAATCTGAACTCTGAAGAAGAAGATGCTAAAGTTTGGATCAAGAAAAATTTCTTGCTTAAATGAGAAATATTCATGTACTTTAATTTAATAATAAGAGTCACTAATTTAGAAATTACTAATGAACACTGGAAACCTCCCTTCACCATTGATTGTGACAACGTAGTAAACTAAAAACTTTTAGCAATAAAAATAATTTATGTTTATCTACATGGAACTCACAAAATAGTATAGAGATCACAATAGGTATTACATTACCCTTTTCCATTCTGTGTAGCTTTAAGCCCTGGTTACTTAGTAAATAATGTATTTACTATTAATGTTCATAAAAGTAGTGTTCCGAGATTGGAATCTGGGAACACTACTTTTAGTCTAGAAAAGTTGTATAAGCCTTGTACCTCTAAATTGCAGTAAATCATTATAAATAAATATTTAATAGGTACGTTTTTTTCTACAAATATCAAAACATTTATCAAATAATTTAAAAATGATTTTGTAGTTAAAAATTTATAAAATGTTCAACTTTTCTAGTTAAGGATTGAAAACTTACAAGGTTTCACGTAAGTAAGTACAGTTATGCTTTACCAAACCAAAAATTCTCAAAATACAAAAACAGTGTTTTATAGTTATTTTATGTTAAAATTTGGAGGAAGTTACATATTAAATAACCAAGAATAACGATTTTAGTTATTTTGTTGAAATTTTATAATGTTAATTCAACTTACCTGTTAATAATAAGTAATAAAAATATAAATATAAAACTGTCTTCGCTCAGAATCTTAATTCGTATATAAATATACAATGATTTTATATCATTAAATTCAAATTTAACAACATTCATAAATTGCAGTGACCCACTTGTAATCTACTGTACCTACAGCAGAGCGACACCCACTTGCCTATAGAACTTGTAACCTACTGTAATTAATTTAAAGAAAATGTGTTTTGATTTTAGATTCTGAGTGAAACGATGAATGTATTGATTTTACAATGATGTGTGTGTTTTTTTTAAATTTTTGTGTCTGTGTACACGATAAGTAGTCGAAATAATGCTTCGTTTTCAACTTCAGTATCGTGTTCGATCGGAAAGTGATTCTAGTTGGTACATTCGGGAGGTCAAATTTTAAAATTCCAATCGTTTGACAAGCGCCGGGATTAAACACATAAAAATAAGGAATAACGGGAATTTTTACGCAAAATCTGTTTTCCAAAAAATCGATTTTGGTTTTTGGAGTAACTTTAAAACAAATGAACGTATATACATGACATTTTCACTGGTTGTTTATATTTGCATTTTCTATACAAGATAACATTTTTAAAATATTATGATTTGTTTGTAACTGTTTAGGGACATTTTCATTTTCCATTTTTTTTAGTTTTTATTCTAAAAATATCAATAACATTTTATTTGTTGGTTTCGAAAGCTTAAAAATGTAAAAGAAAGCTCCTAGTTATTGCTTCAAGGCAGATGAAAAATATTAAAACCGTAGTCACAATTTTTTTTGATAAGCATTTAAAGTTTAAAAATTAACAAAATATGAAAAAATCACGCAAATTAGCAAATTATTTTGAGTTAAGAATTTGTAAAGATTTTTCTTTTTAAATCTAAGATTTGACAATGTAATACAAGATTACTCATAAGTTTGTCTACCTTTATCAATAAAAAATCTCTACCGGAAGTCAAATTAAATTTTTATGAACGTTTGAAATTAAAATTTTTACAACATCGGATATTCACTCGATTTCTCATGTAGCGATTTCCTTATTTTGTTGTAATTCAAAAAGAATAACTGTAGATACATGAAAATTTCACTGAATTTATATATGTATTAGCATTCCTATACACCATACAATTTGAAATTATTTTGACTCTTTGAGCTGTTTAGGACATTTTGAGTTTTCAATTTTTTAGTTTTTTTTTCTATAAATATCAATAAAGTTTTATCTGTTTAGCCAAAAGTGTAAAAATTTAATACAAGGCTCCTGATATATTGTTACATTATAAAAAACCTAGAATAACTATTTTAGTTATTTTGTTGTGATTGTATAATATTATTCGTGGGTACTTGAAACTTCTAAAGTATACTACTATATATCTATGATAGTATCAGGATTTGTTGTTGGTGTATAACGCGTTATAAGTACCTAATGGATATTGTGATATGATTAATTTGGAATTCATTACCTATGTCGATTTTTTAATACCATATATAAGTATATAATATGTCTTATACCTAGAAGGACATACCGTCTCCGCTCAGAATCGTTTTTCTTATACAATGATATAATATCATTGAATTCAAATGTAATACCATCCATTATACAGTGACCCACTTGTAACCTATACTGTACAGCAGAGCGACACCCACTTGCTCACCTTTTTGATTTGCGTTTGTATAGCGATAAACAAAGCGTTACGCAAAATCTGGTAGAAAAAATGTATATTCAGCATATAGGTAACATATCTATGTTAAGAGAACATGGAAAAAATCTAAACTTATAGTCTAATTATAAATTAAATTTAAAAAAAATGTAACTCTGATCAAATAATTTACAGCTGAGTACCTACACAATTATTCAATAGGTATGTCTTGTGATATGACATTATATTATTGTCATGAATAAGACAGTATGATAATATGTTATTGCTGAATTTCGAATTGAACCGAATACGCACTATGTGTACTCACGTACATAATATATTAGAAGCCAAAAGTAAATAATCCATATATGGGTTGGAGGTTTAAATTTTAAAATATCAGCGTTGAAATGTATCAGAAGTTAGATTCTGAAGACTGTCGGGAATGCGAATCGACGTCACGTTAGTAATTGAAGGTTATAATAATGTTCCTTATAGTCATAAACTATAGCCGACCATATACACTGTAGTACAACCGTGTGTCTGTGTACCCATATATAAGTGCTAACATGCCTAAATAAATATATATAATATGCATACTGTTCGGTGTTCACTTGGCGGTCGGACACAATGCACCGCAGCAAACCGATTTATGCTCAATAATTGACCCTGACACCGGTAATGCACCATTAAACTGTAGAGAACGGTCTGGGTGTATGCATTATGCAAAACGAATGAGTGTTTTTGTGTATATTGTATATGAATTTAGTAAAACGTTTCGCGTTAGACGATTTACTTGGCGAGACAAAGGTTGCTTGAAACACGGTTAGCCGCGATAGTGTTAAGTGAGTGATACAGCTGCAGATATACCGCAGATAATATTATAATATTAGTGTTATTTTGAACACAAAAGTCGGTGTGAATTCATTCGGTGTGGTGTGCGACATTAAGTCTTTTCGTTTCGAACGGTGTAGAACTACTGTAAGTTGTTTTTATTCCACTAATATAATAATTCACTTATTGTACCTACCTACCTACCTACCTAATTGTTTTATATTTTCACGCTAATGTACAATAATATAATCTGTATATTGTTCTTGGTAGAGAGAACGGTCGACATTGCCCGGGTAAGCTGTTATAAACAATATATCCGACTTATGTTTATTTTACTTTTGTTTGTTTTCCACTAGTTTTACATTATTACTGTTTTCAACAATTATCCCCCCCCTGAATCGTCAATATGGAAACATTATATGAATTAGAAAATCACAGTATAAGTCTGTAGTAAATACCGATGTATAGCATGGTTATGAAATATTATTTTGCATGCGATCTCTTTGATGTGTTGATTCCATTTATCAGTATAAATAACAAACTTAAGAACTGTTTTTGGAAATGCTTATAACATGATGATTACTGTAATTCGTAATACATAGGTCGTTTAATATACTATTTTATTCAATCACTTCCTGAATAATTAAGCTTTGAGGAAATTATAATTGCATTCTTGTTTCAAGTTTAATTGCGTACAAAAATAATTTAATACAAATTAGTTTTAAGATAGTGTAGGTACCTATGTATTGAATGATAACGTTTTTATGGTAGGCGGAAAAAAAGCCCACGGAAAAAAAGCCCAAGGAAAAAAAGCCCAGAAAAAAAGCCCACGGAAAAAAAGCCCAAAAAAAAAATACACTGAGGAAAAAAAGCCCACGGAAAAAAAGCCCAAGGAAAAAAAGCCCAAAAATATAAATATAAATGTGAACAAAATATAATAATATATTAATAATACATTACTATACTATAACAGATAATAATCATAAATAATTGTATAAGAGGCATATATAGGTAATTTTATAAAAGAAATATTTAAAATTTCAAATATGACTTATACATAATATATAACTATTGAAAATTTTTAATGTATTTTAATTTAAGAAATATTATTAAGGTATATTATTATATAGAGGGTTTGATACTGCCATGAACTGATGAACCACCTGTCAATAAATTGCATTTTTATTACCCAACTATTGATAAGCACTTTTACATTTAATTTAATTTATATTGTTCGGTACTTACCAATATAATTTATATATATAACCAGTCAAAATGTTAAAATTTATCAATAACTGGGTAATATTGACACTCCATATAGTACTCCATTACTTGGTTATTGAGATACTATCTACACGTCCTACTAGTACAGTTTTATCCAGTTATACATTTGTTATATATTTTATACTTTTGTTTTAACCAATTTTGTGAATAAGGAGATTATCAAATCAAAAATACAGGTGGTAACAAAGGTTTTTACAAAGGTTATGTATATGTTGTAAAGTATATTGGCGTATCAAAAATAACCTGGAGGTGTTCTCAGAGGTGTTCAATGAAATGTACTGGAGAATTATACACCGATCTCAAAATTTACAGTATACAACTATACCCACAAAATATTTATATTATTATTGTATTATTACAGTTGAAAATTGACTGACCTGCTGTGACTATTACTATTATAATTAACAATTAATTATTATTTTCATTAATATATAATATAATATGATTATATTTGTTCACATTTATATTGTATTTCTGGCTTTTTTTCCGTGGGCTTTTTTTCCTCAGTGTATTTTTTTTTTGGGCTTTTTTTCCGTGGGCTTTTTTTTCTGGGCTTTTTTTCCTTGGGCTTTTTTTCCGTGGGCTTTTTTTCCGCGATTCGTTTTTTATATGTCTGTATTTATCTATTCTGCTCCCCAACTCGGAAATGTCCATTCATTTGAAGAACCTTCGACCCTATGGTTTCACATATCTTCATGAACTCAAATACAAAAAAAGCAGAAGTCTGTCCTCGTGCGATTCGTCTGACCTTAATATTATTATCACGATTCTACTCAGTTGGGTATACAATAAACAAAGAGAGTCCAACCTTGTATTCCTACTGTAATTCTATAGAATGTACCTTACATACCTACATACACCTATACCTTGTTAAATAATTTCTTTAAGCTTTCATCTCTAATATTTCAAAAATGTTTTAATTTTTGAAAAAAAAAATATTCACACTATTGTATACGTACAGTGGGAACTACAGTACGCCACTCTTTAAAAATCTTTGTACATAGGTATATTATTTAAACGTATAGTTGTTACAGTTATTACTTTATTCACTGTAATAAAACAAAAATCATTTTTAATCTTTGGCACTGTATTTATTTATATTCGATGACTAACGATAAACTTATACTTACGGTTTCTAATTGTGATTAAAATAATTGGTATACTAATAGCTATAGCTGAACGTTCCGTATGATTAATCTGTGACCTTAAAGTGAATTCATCATGTACCTACTACCTACCTACCTCAAATAATAGTACGTCTCTACTCTCTAGATATGCATTTCAATTATAGTAAAATTCTAAATGATTTCTAAGCACGTCTAGGAATTCATAGGTATTATTTTTAATTCAATACCTACTAATATTCTGCGTTGATAATAATCTTTTTTGGTTTTACTCTCTAACGTTCCTCTAACAACTGTTGTAGGTACCTATTCAACAATTTAATTTAAAATGTGTGTTAAAGACTTAAAGGTGTACTATTTTTATCAAAATAACAAGTATAAAATGTATTCTTCAATGATAATATATTTTTTTATAATACTTTTTAGTTTATTGTTGATAGATATGAGCGTGATATTTTTATTACTCTTTGGAAATCATCTAGTTACAACATTAATCGACTTAAAATAAATATTTAAAAATCGTCTATTGCTATTAATATTAGCGTGAATAAAGTATATATATATTATATAAAATAAACCTAAAAAATTAATAAAAGGTTCTTGAACTTATTCAATTGCATAGATATTAGTGTAAAAAAAAATTGAAAGATACGGACAAAAAACTATTGACACGTAACGTAATATTGCAGATAACATTACTTACATATTATGCGGTAGCAATAATTATATTGTTAAAACTTAAAATCATATATTAAATATTTAAATTACTTTTATTATTGTACGTACAGTAGGTATCTATCTACTTAACTGAATGTTTATCTCATCAATGCAAAAGAAAATCAATAAAAAAAACAAAAATTGCATACCTACCTTATTATCAATAACAACAAAATTTACTATAGTAAACTACAAATTAAATATTAAATTACGAATAGTGTGAACTTTGAAGTTATTAATTTTAATCAATTAAAATATAATCTTCTCTATTTCTATTTATAAGTCATTTTTTAATTATATCAACTCTTTGCATACCTATCTATAAAAACAGATCGTTCTCATATTTAATTGTGTCTTACTGTACTTATACCCACTGCTTATATTATTTTAATATCCATATAGGTATTCTAGTTTATGAGTTTATTATAATCAATAAATTAACATTATTTAGTAAAACGTAAAGAAAATCAAAGTCAAGTCGTAGTAAATATATAGCATACATTTAGTTCCCATAATTAATATCATAAAAGATAAAATTTAATGTACCTATAATGTTAAATAAAAAATAAATAATATGTTAAACACTTAAGTCTCTATAGGAATGTAAGTTAATGAATATAATATTTTTTATAAGATCATCAATAGTATTGGTAACCATGGCAACTTACTCCTGGATGGACTATGGACAGATACAGCAGGTGTACTTAACATACGCAGTATTTAACAATACTACGCAGGTTATAATAGTACATACAGTATAGAAAACCCTATAATCAAGAAGATGTAACTATGAAAATCGGTTATCAAAAATATTGACAATATAATTGAAAGTAAATAGTTTATTTTAAGACAATTATAAATTTGTATGGCGAAAAATATGCTAACGAACACTCAATCTACTGGGAATAATTATCCAGCTTATAGTATAAATCACGTTCTAAAGGTGACGTTAAAAACTCGAGTGTAGAAAATGTTTAATTAATATTGGTTAACAGGTAGTTGATAATGACAAAAGTTTCAACGGCATCTAATAAATCGTTACATCTAACTGGAATCGGATTGGCAGTCCAGGCGTTTTATATAAATCTAACACTGGACACTGTGATGGGTGGTGATTTTGTTCAGTTAAAGCCTGCAGGACCACCCATCATCAATCCGGCGGGAGTCTGGAGCGTGGATCAAGCACCCCAGGGATATGCTACAGCTGGCAGTAATTTGGCTTTAAACGGATTGCAAGCATTACAGGCTTTCGGTGGAAACAAAATCGATGCCAACGGATATCGAGACCAGAATGGGTTCTACCGAGACAATAACGGTGCACTGAACGGATATGACGTCGGAAATACTTATGGCGGTGAGTTTCTATGAATATTGCAGATATTATTGAATTTTGTTCGGTCGTTTAGCTTAATATATTGTACATACCCAATCGTGTGATGTATACACCTATTGACGATTAGAGTAAATTAAATTAAAGGTGTCAACGACCGTGGAGTTACAAGTGTGGAAGGCGGAGCTTATGGTGGTATAAATGGACGGAACAAGGGACATCAAGTTGCTGGATTCAGCACTTCGTACCAAAAAAATGAAAGTGGTAATAAAGCTACGTATTATGACGATGGTCTTGGACACGGTGGAGTGATTCAATATGGTGCGAAAGATCAAAGGTATAATATAAGTAGAATTAGTTTTGATAAAGTATTGTATAAGATATAAGATGTTATAAAACCATTTTTTAGGTATACATACAAATACAAAGTATAATATTGTTAAAAATAATATATTGTTGGGTATTAAAATAAATAATATAAAAAGATAATATGTGCCGTATGCCCATATGGGCACATTAATTTCACAAGATTTAGCTATGCCCGAAATGAATATTTTTTCGTAAAACTGACATTTAAAATATATTTTAGACGTAGGTAATTGATGTTCAAACTTCAAATGACGGAATAAAATGAAAAATATCTGGTCATGACTTATTTAAGGGGTATATTTATGACTTATACTTTACAAATTATATAGATAATATAAATATTAAACATTACACGACAAGATATTATATTATAGTATTTTATACATAACGAGTGGCCTTGTTTTTCGTGGGTTTTTGGCCTCCGTCACTAATATTGGGTTCTAAAGTGTTCTGAATAGGAGACCATTCGGGTTTTTCGTGACAAATCCTCGCCACATGTACACGTGTTCCAAATTGTACCCTTCGCCACAGTGAAAACCGACTAAAAATACCCTTCAGGCAATCAGGCTAATGACCTCAGTTGTCGCAAAAAAACGCAAAAAAAAATATACAAATACGAATTACGAGTATATATATATATACAATACGAAGATAATATCAAATCATTTTTAATTTAACATAAAAATGTATAACATGCAATTGTAGTTTTTACTTAAATCATTTATTTTAGATGATTTATTGAACAAATGTTGATGTTATTTAAATTTTATATAATATACTTTTAAAATAAATATAAATAATTTACTATAAATCAACCGTACAATTATTATTAGATTTTGATAAAATGTATTATTATGATTGATAGTAAATTGTTTATAATAATTTGATTGCCTGACTCTATTCTTTTCAAGCAATAAATATTTCGAGTGAAATTATTATAACAACGGTTTTTTATGGCAGAATTTTTTAAACATTTAAGTTGCATTTTTGCATTTTTTTTTTTAGGTCAGTTTTAGTCTATTTATAGGAACTACAAATTCTCTATAGATTTCAGTATACATATGTATGTATTATATAACATGAGTCTCGGATTCATCATAATGACCGGATCTTTCTATTTCATTGAATTAATATATTAATTTAATATGAGTAAACCCATTTGTTTTTTGTTTAAAATATATATTAAAACAATAATAATTGGATCGTATTCACAAAAATAAATTAAATTAAGAGCCATTTTCTGGTGATTTTTTTGAGTTTTTAAGTGATAAATGCATATCTTAAGGGTATATTAATTTATTTTTACGTTTTTGCCATTTATAAGTATTCATACAATGTTACCCACAAATCATTAACTCCTAGCCCAATATGCATATAATATTGCCCACTTATTTTTTATGACTGCTCGGGTAGTTTACAAGCTGCAACATCAGTTTTTGAAGGATATTTTAACGACAGAAGTGTAAGACTTTCAATTTTTTAATTTACAGGTTCAGAGATGGAGAAGGCAAGGCATTCGGAGGAGGCTACCACGATTCGTCGGTGAAGACAAACGCAGTCGGTCAACAAGGCCAGTTCGGTAACGGGGACGGTTACCACGCCGCCGGTGGTCAGACGGGCGACGCGGTCAACAATCAACTCTACGGCACGCGGTCCGACAGCGGCCCGGGCATCGTGGCCGGCACGCCGTTTTTGGTGTCCACCACTGACCCATTGCCACCAGTCGTCCATCTGCCACCGCAGTACGTGCAACAATCCCCGCAGTACATCCCTCAGGCACCGCAGTACGTCCCGCAGGCCCAATACGTCCCTCAGGCCCAATACGTCCCGCAGGCCCCGTACATCCCGCAGGCCCCGTTCGCGGCCCAGGCACCGTTCGCGGCCCAGGCCCCGTTCGCTGCCCAGGCACCCAATTTGTACCAGAGCAACATTCCACAGCTGCCGCCCATCATACAGCAGCAACCGGGATCGATACTTCCGCCGTACAACGTGCAATTGCCCGCTTTATCGCTGTCCGCCCGCTCGCCGTCCGGCCAATACGTCGTGCCCATGCCACCAAAACTCTACGTGGACAAACCCAACGCCACCACAGACGGTTGAACATTTGAATCGATTATTACAGTACATTCTTACGTTGTTGTTTATTAATGCATTATTATACGATATTATGCGCGAGTCGATGGTTGTTCGTTTGGATTATAAAGTTTCATCGGTTCTAAAAATATTATAGCTGTATTATATAGGTACCACCTACCTGCCTATTATGTATTATAGGTTGTTAAACACCTCTGCTGCTGATCGAGATGGGAATCATATTGTATAGTGGTTGTCTATAGATTTTAGATGACAATTTTTATTCAAAACAGTCAAAAAGTTTAGAGTGTAATCGGTTCAAAGTGTACATCGTACATAAATGTGTACAGAATCAAACGAATACGACAGTGTGGTGTTATATAATGTATACGTATATTATATAAGACACTATCAAAACATTGAAAACTTAATTTTAGATCACATTTATCTAATACTTTTTTACATTTTTTTTTTTTAAACTCAGAGTTAATATTTTACATTATTTATTTATACGAAGCAATTGCAGATTGTTTTTTTATTATTTGTTTACGACTAGACCTCTTGGATTTACTTATGACTCAGGGGACAAGCCGTATTCCCCAAGGAAGAGGGGTAAATCAGAGTATCTTTCTCGTATATGCACCACCGAGGGTGATAATAAATTCTTGTAGAACTGGAAAATCAGCACCTCCGAAATGTATTCGACGTTTTCCATAAATAAGAAGTCTCAAATTTCGAACTGAAGTAAGTACTAAGTATAGGCATGAAAGTGATAATAAAAAAATATTGTGTACTTTGCACTGATGACGAGGTATTTCGTTGTTAAGAAGTTGTGTTTTGATTATTGTATGGACGTATGTTGATATAATATCAACGGTAAACAAAGGAGAATATTTAAAACATATTATTTTAAACTTAGTTTTAGTTTTATATTATAAACTATCTTTAATAGTATCAATACAAACCGTAATGCAAAATTAATAAGTTACGGCTGGGAATAGAAATTATCTATATAACATGTATCATAATAAATTTAGTCCTAAATAATACATTATAAATCTGTTAAATTTCGAATGTAGATACTTATTGAATTTATATTTTTATGACTTGAATATACTAGTTATTATTCAATTATTGGCGTAATCATTGATTTAAATTTAACCAATGGGAAAAAATATATTTTCTTCACACAAGTTTATTTTTTTAGAAAATATAAGGACACGAGTTGTTCAAACAAGTAAAAAGTATTTTTCTCTTTTAAACACATACATGCAGAAAAATGTTGCAAAGTAATTAAAACTATCGATTCGTACTGACCCTTTCTTGAAATGACGCATCTGGTAAATTTGCTTATAAAATATAAATACATATTTCGGTTAATTACAAGAAGTATTTTACCACATATTCTATCTATAAAAGTGGATTTTATACTTTTATGGTTGGTACATTCATATTTACTATTGACTCATAAATCCTTTTCATTATGTTAAAATATGAAACACCAATATTTTTACATTATTTACCGAAAACGTCTATTTTTATATGGTAGAACATGTTTTTCCAAACTTAATAATTATTATTGACACGCCATTTAGTTAAAATATAATATTGAGAATGCTAATTATGTTTATTTTTTTATTAAATATGAAAGAAAATCTGTTGTCAAATTATAAATTTAAAACACCTAATACTTGCGTAGTTGCGCACGTATTACGACTTTTATAATATTTGTTTCATGATCTTACATAACATTCGCTGCTCGTGTTAATGTTGAAGAATTAATCGTGACTCGTCGTTGTAATCATGTAATATAATATAGTATTTTCATCTTAAGTACAGCAATTAACTCGCCTAAACTAATATTAAATTGGGGAATAGTTAGGTATTCATTTTTTAACTTATTAACATCTATATACTTCAGTATTCACCTAGTCAGCTTTATATAGGTACCTACTATATTCTATGTATACAATTTATGAAGTAGTTAATTTTATGCACTCATATTTAGTGATTCGGGTGACATAAGAGATCGGTCTTTTAATATTTCACATGCATCTGAAAATTTCAATCGTACATATTGTATATATCCAATACATTTTTAAAAAAGTATTTATTTTATATAGCAGGTACCTTTCAAATGGATAATTTCTACTAGTAGGTACATACGTCTGCCGTCGCTTTATTCTTCTTATTCTCACTGGTGTAATCTCATAGTTGGATGAATTATAATATATACAGTGAATTTGATACTAAATGAGCTATTATCAAGCATAAACTAAGGTGTTTGTGTGTTGTTAAGGTATCAATTTATGAGTATCTTTAATTTGTAATATTTTACATACTCTTAACTTGCTTGTAAATTGGAATAAAAATAATTCAAGTGATTTATACAATGTATTACAGTAAAACTTCCGTTAACGATCACCTCTATAGGACCGTCATCTCTATGTAACGGTCAATTTTTTCGGTCCCGTCGAGTGTTATCCTAGTGTTGTCCTATACCTCTGTAGGACGGGCACCTCTAAATAGCGATCATTATTTACAGTCCCTTCGGTGACCATTATATGGAAATATGGAAGTTATACTGTATCAAATTATTTCACCTCAAAGTAAAGCCTTTTTTAGAGTTCCGTACGTAAAACGTGACCATATTACTAAGGCTCCGCTTTCCGTCCGTCTGTCGCCAGGCTGTATCTCTTGAACCATGAAAGTTAGACAGTTGAAATTTTCACAATTTATGTATTTCTGTTGCCGCTATAACAACAAATACTAAAATTCCTACAATATATAATATAAGCAGTGTTGCCAACATATTTATAGATAATGATACGGAACCCTTCCGACTCAAACTTGCCCGGTTTCTTCTTGTAATTATGTACGAAAAATCGTGTCTTTTTTCAGGTTTTCTTTTGAGTGTGATAACTATCATTATTATTTTTAGATAAAATATACCTATTAGTTATATTATATTAATATTTATGTATGATTATAATGATTTGAATAATTAAATCAATATCCGACAGTGGTGTATTTTAGAAAAGTGGTCATAGGCCTCCCCAACCGGTTTTTTACACTATTGTCCATAATACATAAGTGATAATTAATTTAATATTTAATATACAGCAAATCTTTAAGTTATATTAAGACATGTATTAAACGTGAGACATTTTAAATCGGAACTATATTAATATAATATATTTAAAATGGTAGGAATCAAAAATTAAACGCTATTACATAAATGTAAATTTAATTGATACAATTAAAAATATCCCCCCTCCCCAAAAAAAGTTTGCACTCAAATACGTTACAGACATCCGACAATATTTTAAAATTCTTCCGGGCTGGATCTCAAAATCATAAAGATCTTGACTTGAAGTTCATATTCACAAGATGTTTTTATGTTTAATATAAATCATATTTACACTGGTTTTGTATAGTTTTTTAATAAAATAAAAATTGTGTTTAGGTTGTAAGTTTTGTGTTAAAGCGATTTACACGACCTACCTACATAACTCCTATACAAAATCGTCTAAACAAGAAATTAATAATCAATAAATTACAATAATTAGGATCTTTCAAAATAATTTAGTGCTATAACTTACAAGTTACAAGTAAACAAGTTACAATTTATAACATTAATTAGTAAGTTGTACGTTGTTACGACCAATAGGTCCACATTTATAGGAAACGACACCATTCTACACAAATATTATGTATTTTACAATTATTATTAATTATTATCAATAGACATCTTACTTCTCCCATCCTCGCTTCAGAATAAAACATTTGGATTATTGTGTATACACTTTATTATCCATAACATATACATATTGTCACAATAATAATTGTCATGATAAAAAAAAAAAAAAAAAAACAATAAATCAACTATAACACGATTGCTTGTCTGTTCTATTATTATCACTAAATAAATCCATGCATTTTTCAAAAGAAAAAGTCATTTCGTCGTAATTGTATTATAAGCCCTCCGTATAATACTATTAAAACGGATTACCACGCCCATCGATTATACATGCCGGTTGCAAGAGTTGGGATGTATTATACGCAACTATTATATAGTTATTATATATACGAGGGGTGTAAATATTATGATAGAGAGAACAATTTGCGATTTTCATTATTTTATGATTTATTATCATACAACCCTAATACATATTTAACGAATCAATATATAGATATAATAACATAGGGAAATAACGATAAGACCCAATTATCTCTTTACGAAACATTGGATTAATATATTATGGCAGTGTATATACGTTATAATGTAATAATTGGCATAAAATGTTGTGATAAAAGGGAATGGGAATTAATCGAGATAAAAAAAAAATTGTTTTTTTATCATATTCCCAGTGGAAGTGCCATAGTATTCTTTGTTTTTACCACTATGCTTTTTTCGTCTTTTGAAACTTATTTTCCAGAGGCCAGTATTGCCAGTAATATTGCTCCAAAAGTACAATTTACATTAAAGTTTAATTTTAAAAATTATTTCAAACAATTATTTAAGATCTGTAGAATTGATTGAAATTCTTCTTATCAATTTTTGAAACTTGTTTAAATTCAATCCATACATGATATACATAATATTATGATATAAAATATTTATTTTAATAAGACATTATTTAACAATACTTATACAATCTAAGAAAGTGGGGAAAAAAGGGCAAGTGGATGTCGCTCTGATGTACAGTAGGTTAATTTTTACCTCCCAAATCCACCAACAAGATTCACTTTCCCATCGAACAAGATATACTGTTGAAGAAAATCGAAGCAGTTTGACCACCCCAAACGGTGATGACAGACACAAAAATAAAAAAATTAATGTTTGCTGTGAGAACTCGGTATTGCAACTAACAGGCATAATTACTGTATATTATGTATAGGTATCGATAAAAATAAGCATTTCAATTTATGATATCCGTTGCTGCAGTTATCAATATATTACACATAACATTAAAAGTAATTAAGTTGTGGTCGCTGGCTGCTGCACTCAGAATTTAAATCAAGCT